CATGATTGTAAGAACTTGTCGGACGTGGTACTTGTGAACCTCAACGTCCGACTTTCCATCCATAGCTCGACTATGGATGAATACGTCATCGAAATAACTCGGCGCGAATTCTCGTACTGGCCTCAACAGATGTGATACACACCTGTTGAACGTGGCAGGGGCATTACTGAGCCCTTGTGGCATTACTAGCCATTCCCAGAGCATGCCGCTAGGCGTGCTAACTGCGGTATAGGGTATATCCCGTTCCGCATTAGGATTTGATAGAAGCCATCCATCAAATCCATGGACGAAAAGATGGTACTCTTTGACATACCATCAATGATTACGTCCTTCCTCGGTATCGGCGTCTGAGCCGGTACCGTTGCAGCGTTCAATTTGTTAAACGCGTGCACTATCCGCCACCCTCCTGTTGCTTTTCGCACACAGAAGGTCGGAGAGCTATGTGGGGAAGTTGATTCCCTCACATGGCCCGCTGCTAAACGATCGGCAAAGAACTTGTCGATCGCAAGTACTTGTTCACGAGGCAGTGGCCACTGCTTCATGACACAGTACTTCGAGCCTGGTTTAAGCTCGACTTCGTGTCGAATACCTTTATCCTTCGGTAATTCGCACGGAACAGTTTCAGGGAATACATCCTTGAATTCAACCAAATCTTCATAGAGAGGATTTTCCTTGAGCGATTCCCATGATTGGGACTCATATCGCTCAATTCGTGTCTTTTCATCTAGGACACTCTCGTCCATAGATGAACTACTGAGAACTCTCTCGTTCTCAGTAAACACTGTTGCTGACCTTATGTCGGTTACATACTCGTCTTCAGCGACGAGTATGCAGATCTGCTTGACTTTGCCACTACGCAGATCACGCAAGAATCTTTTATGTTCGAGCGTTGGCAACTGAGTGATCTCCGAAGTTAACTTCGGAGGCGCAATCAGATCAAGTGTATAAGCGCCTACACATGATCCGTTATTGACTATGACATTCAATGTCTCTGTCATTTCCTGGGGACTTATTCCCTCAGGCTTCGAAGGACTTATTCCTTCGTCTTCCCGGGGACTTATTCCCGCGGGTTTCGGGGAACTTATTTCCGCCGTATTTGTAATATTGGGACTTATTCCCTTTACTTCCTCTAGCTGGGGTTGCGCAACCACAGCGAGATCCTCTACGAAAGACTCTCCAGTCGATCTAGGATTATCGTTTCGCTTAACCTGAGCGATCGATTGTTTCTCTTCTAGATGTTCCCCTCTAGGGATACATCTTTGTCCCAGTCCACCCGACTTATTCGAGTGGTGGACCTTCGGCGCAGCCTGTGTTTCCTCACAGCCGCCGGAACTTTGCTCCGAAGTGTAACCGTTTGGTACACTAAGGTTTTGTGCAGTCGTACTAACGACCGTATCACAAGTGAGGCCATCGCACTCACTCGTAGTACATCCACACGCTTGTGGACGCTCCAAAACGTTCATCAGATGGCCATCTGATGAACAAGCGGCAGGCATCGTTACTGTTCGATGTTGCCAGTTTACCCGTGGTTCGTACCTTCTGAGCCACGGTATTCCAAGGATGACATCAAATTTGTCATCCAAATCCAATACGATAAAGTCATCGTCGTATTGGGTATCTTCTAGCGTATAGTGAATCTTCACTATACGCTTCATGACGGTTACGGATGCGCCTGTCGCAAGACGTACCGTCATCCTCGTAGGAGGTGTGTCACATTCACTGAATTTAAAGTGACCATCTTCTAGCGATTGGCGTCGCACAAAATTGTTGGACGCCCCACAATCGACTAGAGCTCGAAGGGACAACTTATTCGTCACTTCGAGTTTCAAGGTAATGAGTGAGATCTCATTACCTAGAGCAGCAACGCACAATGTCTGTGTGTTGGGAGCAACCTTCATCAAGAGGCCTACAAATTCTCTTGACGTTGCTGGATCAGTAGGGTGCTCCGCACCTACTGATCCTGTCCGTTTTTTGACGGTCCATCCCGTTGTTGCGTCTTTGCACCAACTGCGGACCCTCGTCCCTGCCCCTTTCTCATGGGTGGACGGTCACTACGCCCAGTGTCGCGAGACACTGGACGAGGGGCACTACACTCGTAAGCGTAGTTTCCTGTCTTTTGACATCTGTTGCATCTCTGCAACTTCTTGTAGCCTGTAGAGCGAGCCTTCTCGCTCTCTACATAACAGAGTTCCATCGGCTCTGGACCTCCGTTGTCATATCGTCTCGGTTGACGATATGATGTCGAGCTGGCGCGAGCCTGTCTCAGACTGAAGTCTTCCTGCTCCGCAATTGAAATGGCTTGTTCTAGTGAATCTAGTTCAAGCCGGAACAGGTGAGTCTTGACGGGACCATCCGCAAGACCCTGCATGAACACCGAAACCAACGTGTGTTCATCCACCGGATTGGAACTTATACAACTCGTGAGATGTCGTATATGTTGAGCGTAAGCGTGCACATCACGCTTACCCTGCTTGAGCTTCAAGAGTTCGGTTCGAGCTCTGAACTCAGCTCTAGGCGGTTCAAACGTTTGTCTGAGCCGCGACTTGAAGACTTCCAACGACCCAAACGCATATGGGTCGTGCAGCTTGAGCCCCAGTGCCCAAGTCTTGGCACGTCCTGCCAGATTTGACTGGGCAAATGCAACTTGCATATCCCCGTCGTCGATGCGACGCGCCCTTATGGCGTCATCCAATTCGACGAACCATCTCAAGAGGGAGTCTTCTTCGACCCCCCTATACTTTGAGATGTCAATCTTCAAAGTCTCGGGCCGACGCGAGTGCATCGACCCGCCAGCAGCAGCCTGCTGCTGTCTCAACAGTTCAAACTGTTGAGCACCTTGTTCTCTCAACAACTCTGCTTGTTGAGAACCTTGTTGGTGAAGCAAGACTATATTATCGCGTTCAGCGTCAAGTTCATTTTGAATGAACTTGGCGATAGTAGCATGTTGGGCATCTCTATTGAGAGCCTCTAGCATGACGCTAACAGCATGGATGCCCATGGTCGAACCCATTCGTTCAACCGCATCCCATTCGACATCGCTCAAATGGGAGTAGCCGTCACGCGTAGCGTGAAAGCTTTGGTCATCTTCATCATCCAACATATTCATGTTGGATGTGAACGCGGTCCTTGGACGGACTACGAAGTGCTACCAGGTGTAACGGGGCACCCTGAAGCTTGTACTGATGACAGTACAAGCTACTTATTCTGATGACAGAATAAGGCGGTGCCTCGTAACTTCACGTACACTGGTACGTGCAGAGGAAGACGGTAAGAAGAAGCGAGTACTTGGTTAGAGTAAAAAGTAGAACTGTATTTATAATAGTTAATGTCTGCAATAAATCACTATTTATCTTCATCTAACTATGTCTAAATACAAATGTGTAAATCAGTTATCTGCTCACCACTCATTGCGTGCGTCTGTCGTGGCGCGTCTTCGTTGGTTGATATAATGGCCTATATCAACCAATTAGGAACTACTTGGAAGTGCTACAGAATATTGTCCTTATGACAATATTCTGAGAATATAACTCTTATAGTTATATTCTATTAACAATTTCTTATAAATTGTTATGTAACGATTCACCCCGTTACACGATTGTTCCACCGCTGCTGATCCACCGCTTCACAGTCTGTTTTACCAGCTTTTGCACGTCTTGTTTCGACAAGCTAACCACATTTCCGTTTACTGGTTTCTTCACATGTGCTCCCGCCATAAATGCATCAACGAGATTTATTTACACACATACTGTGGCGGAGCTCACAGGTCTTTAAGTCAGACTAAGACGTAGTGCTCAAAAAGTGATACTATTTCTAAAGAACTAGAATCTATGAGTCAAAAAGCGTAAAGGTTAAGGTCCCTGTCCCAGAGACACGCACAATCCAGTAAATCTACAGCACTTAGTGATCAAGAATAGCTACCTATGACAGGTGTTGCCAACTCCATACGATCAACGATCAGAGACGCCTTGCAAGGCACGTGCCTTAGACAAGAGTTAAAGGGGAACTGTAACGGGGTGAGAGCCCGTTACCGTCTTACACTAATAATTAAGCTGAGGAAGCGCTGTGATTTATAAGGTAAATTTAACTCTGTTTGTATTTTTGTGTTTTTATAATTCGCAGTAAGTGCGAATATGTTCCCTAGCTCATGGGAACCACTCAAATACAGAACTAATTATTATTGGCTAATTATTGGGTCTGGCACCCCAATAATAAACCAATAATAAATAGACGCGCAGTATCCGCTATCCGGATACTGCCTACACTTAATGTATGTAATTATGTAATAAAACTATGACTACTTAATATAATGGGTTGCCCCATTACATCACCCCCCTCTTTAAGTTGCGCTTACCGTGACGTAAGCGCCATACACAGAAAGTTTCTTCTTAACGAATAGTCCAACGAAAAGCCCAACGAGAACTCCAACGACACGTCATCTTGGTCTTCGAATCTGCTCAGCCACAAACAACTGAGCAGCATGAATCCTGAACACCCACGCGACTCGACCCCAAACGACAGTTGGGGTCATCAGACACTTCGAAGAGAGCGTGCACCGCAGACCATGGATGACGACTTGAAGCCGTGGGGCTTGTACAGCCTTGAAGGCGCGCACCAACACTGAAGACGCACTGCAACGATCTTGGTGTGACTTCATCAGACGTTGGAACGCGAGTCGATGTGAAGGGGCATCCTTCACGTCCTGGATCGAGGGACGCGAAAGTATTAATGGCGACCACGCTATTGGCGACTTACGACGACGCGTATGTCATTTGACTCGTGATGGGTTCCACATGTGTTACGTCCATGTCCGTGAAGGGTGTCCACGGTGTCACATGGAGAGACCGCGACCAATGCAGCAGGAATGGGACGACATGGTGTGTGCACGGGGAATGCCCCAGCACATCCGACCATGGATCGGACGCTATGAGAGGAGCCTCTCAGAGCTCCAAGTATCTGCGTTGCGTCACATGAGGGAACGCCCTGTCGATCAATGGAGGCGTTCACGTAGTCGAGATCGTTTGTCTTCGACCACCGAGGTCGCTCTCGTAGTCGCTCTCGACCGTCAAGGTATCCAAATGCTCCCGAGCCTCGTAGAAGACGTCGGAGTCGCTCGGGAGATCGTCGTCGATCGCCAATTCACGCACGTTACGGTTCGCGGGATCGTGGAAGGAGTCAGCAGCGTCGGTCGCGTTCGGCGACCTCTTACTGGTCTCGTACTCCTCAACGACGTCAGGAACATCGTGAGCCAGCATACTTCGAGGCTCCCACGTGTCTTCCGTTGGTGAATAACCCAACCATCGGACCTTGTAATGCGTTTCTGAACGACTCTTCGATGGCGCCGAGCCACTACTCGGCGCAAGAGGCGTGGGGTCTTCATGACCGACGATACGGTCCACAATCCAGCGTGGCTCACCCGATGCATCTACCAAGGGAGGAGGAGCATCACGACGGAAGGCTTCTTGGATTGGGCGCCGATTCTCATAATCGGGCGCCTGTGCCGTCGAGTGACGAGCTTCGTTTCCTTCGTGCTGACACTGAAGAGGCGATGAAAGGCCTTCTGGATGCCCGTGAGATGGTCGAGAGGGCTGGAGATCGTGTAGCAGCTGCGACAGAGGCTGCCGAGAGAACCCGACGGGAGCAGCAGGGCTTGGTGGAGCGTCTGCGACAGCTCGAGACTGCTGCGTTCGGTGGACTTCAGCAGAACGAGTCTGCTCGCGCTCGTCTAGGACTTGGTCCCAGTCGTCGTCAGCGTCGTCGGCAGGGGGTGTCGGACTTTGAGCCGATACAGACGAGTGAGGAAGGACAAAAGGGAGATCCGCCGGCAGGTAAGCCTTAAGGCGCCCGACATAGAATGTCGGGTGCAAACGCATAGTGGTAGGTATGTCTAGCGTGTAAGCATCTCCATGGACTTCAACAATCCGAAAGGGCCCCATATATCTTGGCGCTAATTTATTAGCGCCCAAATTCGTTACTGACGTGTCTGGTAATCCGCTTGTCGATAGTAAGACTCTGTCACCTTCTTTGAACGTCAGCAAGTTCTTTCGACCTCGCTTGTCCGCGTTCTCCTTTTGTTTATCCACTGCTTCTTGGAGTGCATCGCGTACAAAACGCGTGATACTTTGCCGTAGTAATAGGAATTCGGTCACAGCAGCCGAACTTACAGGAGAAGTGGACTCTTTAGGAGCAAAATTAGCGACGGGAGACGCGATGGGATGCATCGCGTCGGGACTCGATATGCCATTGGCCACGAAATTAACAGTATGAGTTGCATCGGCAGCAACCTTGTCTTCAACATTACCAATCATCAAAATATTTCGCGTAGTGTCATCGGGAGATACTCCCCCACCAAGCTGAGAAACTGGGTGTGCTGAAGCTGAAAGAGCAAGAAGCGCTGGAACGCGAGGGTGCCTCGCGTTATTCACGAAAAATGGCGTTAACCCAGTCGACGCATGAATTGCGTTGTTGATTGCAAATTCAGCGAGAGGGAGAAACGAACTCCACGACTGGAACGATGTCGCATAACTGCGTAGTACATCTTCAAGCACTCTGTTCACGCGCTCCGTTTGCCCATCCGTCTCTGGATGGGCTGCCGTAGACATAAGCAGTCGCGTGCCCAATAGTTGAAACAACGTTGCCCAAAAAGCTGATGTAAAGCGCGGGTCGCGGTCCGAAACAATTGATTCAGGCAAGCCGTGATGTCGAAATATGAGATCGATGAAGATCTGCGCGGTCGTCTCCGCCGTAACGTGCGCGGAGACTGGAGCAAAATGCACCATTTTGCTTAATCGATCCACAAAAACCAATACGCCCGTGCATTTCTGTTCGTCCGGAAAGAGACCAAAGATGAAATCCATGCTGACCGAACGCCAGGCTTCCGTGGCAATCGGAAGCGGACGCAATGGAGCTTGTGAAGACGGCGCAGGCTTCACACGCTGGCATATTTCACAAGAGCGTACCCATTTCTGGATGTATTTGTACATACGCGGCCAGAAAAACACACGAGAGATGGCCGCGAACGTCTTCTCGCGACCCAAATGACCACCAGTTGGAGTGTCATGAAATTCATGCACCAATCGTGCGCGGAGGTCGTCATCAGCAGGGATGACGACGCGCGGTGGGTCGAAAACGTCCATTGTATAAGTCAGCAGCGGACCATCAAGCGCGTACCGCTTGATGTTGTCACGCGTTGGTTTCGTCAACTTTGCGAGTGAACCCTCACTAGGGTGTAGAAGATAATTGATGATTCCCGTGTAGAATGAATCGTTCGCATATGACTCAGCGATTTGAGTCCGGATTGACAGCTCAGGTGTCGAAATCATTGCATTGAGCCCCTGCTCAGCACAGCATAAACAAATGTCGTCGTCCTCGTCTTCAGCAATTCCTGGCTGATGACCCATGTCACGTCGAGGATCATAATCGGGACGTCGAGAAAGCGCGTCAGCAAGAATGTTGTTCTTGCCGGGTTTGTAAAAGACCACGAAATTATACTCTGAGAAGTATGACAACCAACGTGCCATACGCTGGGACAAGTGGGGAGTCTTGACGGCGGTACGCAATGATGCGTGATCTGTATAGACCGAAAACATCTTCTCGCCGAGCAAATATACTCTGAACTTGATCAGCGCGTAACGCATAGCCAAAAGTTCCTTGTCATGTACCGGATAGTTCCGCTCTGCGGGTTTCATCTGTCGTGACTGAAAGCTCACGACGCGCTCTCGGCCCTCATCGTCAAACTGCATGAGGGCACATCCAATAGCGAAATTACTCGCATCACAGACGACGTGAAATGGCTTAGAATCATCAGGCAACATCAGCACTGGTGCTTCAGACAAGGTCTTTTTCACAGAGTTGAAGGCAGAGTGATATTCAGCTTTCCATGACCAAACTGCGTCTTTCTTCAGTAGAGTCGATAGTGGCTGGATTAGTTCTGCATAGTTCTTCGTATACTTATGCAAGTAATTGGCCAAGCCAAGCCATTGGCGTAGTTCCGTTTGGTTCCTGGGCGTAGGCCATGAACATATCGATGACACTTTCTCGGGTTCAGCATGGACACCTTCCTTGCTAACATAGCATCCAAGAACTGGAATCTCGGGAGCACAGAAGACACACTTCTTCAAATTTGCGTACAGATTGTTCTCGCGCATCACTTGGAACACCTGTTTCAAATGCCGAAGGTGGACCTCCGTAGCGCTGAGTTGTTGCTCAGCGCGGCTGTGAACAAAAATATCGTCGAAATAACTTGGAGCGAAATCACGTAGTGGCCGAAGCACTTGTGTCACCATCCGGTTGAACGTTGCTGGAGCGTTCTTAAGGCCTTGTGGCATGACTAGCCACTCCCAAAGCATCCCACTCGGTGTGCTGACAGCGTTGAACGGGATATCACTGTCCCTCATTAAAATCTGGTAAGAACCGTCTGTCAGGTCTATGGCGCTAAAAATCTCGCTGCCGGACATGGTATCCAGTACCATGTCTTTCCGAGGAATTGGTGTTTGAGCCGGGATCGTGGCGTCATTCAACTTGTTTAAAGCATGCACGATGCGCCAACCGCCGGTGGCTTTCTTCACACAGAAAGTCGGACTCGAATGTGGCGATATGCTTTCGCGGACGTGTCCTGCCTTACGGCGGCCCTCAAAAAATTCGTCAATTGCGATGACTTGGTCACGCGGTAGCGGCCACTGCCGCGTCACGCAATACTTCGATCCTGGCACGAGATCGATCTTGTAACGGGGTGAATCGTTACATAACAATTTATAAGAAATTGTTAATAGAATATAACTATAAGAGTTATATTCTCAGAATATTGTCATAAGGACAATATTCTGTAGCACTTCCAAGTAGTTCCTAATTGGTTGATATAGGCCATTATATCAACCAACGAAGACGCGCCACGACAGACGCACGCAATGAGTGGTGAGCAGATAACTGATTTACACATTTGTATTTAGACATAGTTAGATGAAGATAAATAGTGATTTATTGCAGACATTAACTATTATAAATACAGTTCTACTTTTTACTCTAACCGAGTACTCGCTTCTTCTTACCGTCTTCCTCTGCACGTACGAGTGTACGTGAAGTTACGAGGCACCGCCTTATTCTGTTATCAGAATAAGTAGCTTGTACTGTCACCAGTACAAGCTTCAGGGTGCCCCGTTACACCTGGTAGCACTTTGTAGTCCGTCCAAGGACCGCGTTCACATCCAACATGAATATGTTGGATGATGAAGATGACCAAAGCTTTCACGCTACGCGTGACGGCTACTCCCATTTGAGCGATGTCGAATGGGATGCGGTTGAACGAATGGGTTCGACCATGGGCATCCATGCTGTTAGCGTCATGCTAGAGGCTCTCAATAGAGATGCCCAACATGCTACTATCGCCAAGTTCATTCAAAATGAACTTGACGCAGAACGCGAGAAAGTAGCCTTGCTTCACCAACAAGGTTCTCAACAAGCAGAGTTGTTGAGAGAACAAGGTGCTCAACAGTTTGAACTGTTGAGACAGCAGCAGGCTGCTGCTGGCGGGTCGATGCACTCGCGTCGGCCCGAGACTTTGAAGATTGACATCTCAAAGTATAGGGGGTCGAAGAAGACTCCCTCTTGAGATGGTTCGTCGAATTGGATGACGCCATAAGGGCGCGTCGCATCGACGACGGGGATATGCAAGTTGCATTTGCCCAGTCAAATCTGGCAGGACGTGCCAAGACTTGGGCACTGGGGCTCAAGCTGCACGACCCATATGCGTTTGGGTCGTTGGAAGTCTTCAAGTCGCGGCTCAGACAAACGTTTGAACCGCCTAGAGCTGAGTTCAGAGCTCGAACCGAACTCTTGAAGCTCAAGCAGGGTAAGCGTGATGTGCACGCTTACGCTCAACATATACGACATCTCACGAGTTGTATAAGTTCCAATCCGGTGGATGAACACACGTTGGTTTCGGTGTTCATGCAGGGTCTTGCGGATGGTCCCGTCAAGACTCACCTGTTCCGGCTTGAACTAGATTCACTAGAACAAGCCATTTCCATTGCGGAGCAGGAAGACTTCAGTCTGAGACAGGCTCGCGCCAGCTCGACATCATATCGTCAACCGAGACGATATGACAACGGAGGTCCAGAGCCGATGGAACTCTGTTATGTAGAGAGCGAGAAGGCTCGCTCTACAGGCTACAAGAAGTTGCAGAGATGCAACAGATGTCAAAAGACAGGACACTACGCTTACGAGTGTAGTGCCCCTCGTCCAGTGTCTCGCGACACTGGGCGTAGTGACCGTCCACCCATGAGAAAGGGGCAGGGACGAGGGTCCGCAGTTGGTGCAAAGACGCAACAACGGGATGGACCGTCAAAAACGGACAGGATCAGTAGGTGCGGAGCACCCTACTGATCCAGCAACGTCAAGAGAATTTGTAGGCCTCTTGATGAAGGTTGCTCCCAACACACAGACATTGTGCGTTGCTGCTCTAGGTAATGAGATCTCACTCATTACCTTGAAACTCGAAGTGACGAATAAGTTGTCCCTTCGAGCTCTAGTCGATTGTGGGGCGTCCAACAATTTTGTGCGACGCCAATCGCTAGAAGATGGTCACTTTAAATTCAGTGAATGTGACACACCTCCTACGAGGATGACGGTACGTCTTGCGACAGGCGCATCCGTAATCAATCATGAAGCGTATAGTGAAGATTCACTATACGCTAGAAGATACCCAATACGACGATGACTTTATCGTATTGGATTTGGATGACAAATTTGATGTCATCCTTGGAATACCGTGGCTCAGAAGGTACGAACCACGGGTAAACTGGCAACATCGAACAGTAACGATGCCTGCCGCTTGTTCATCAGATGGCCATCTGATGAACGTTTTGGAGCGTCCACAAGCGTGTGGATGTACTACGAGTGAGTGCGATGGCCTCACTTGTGGTACGGTCGTTAGTACGACTGCACAAAACCTTAGTGTACCAAACGGTTACACTTCGGAGCAAAGTTCCGGCGGCTGTGAGGAAACACAGGCTGCGCCGAAGGTCCACCACTCGAATAAGTCGGGTGGACTGGGACAAAGATGTATCCCTAGAGGGGAACATCTAGAAGAGAAACAATCGATCGCTCAGGTTAAGCGAAACGATAATCCTAGATCGACTGGAGAGTCTTTCGTAGAGGATCTCGCTGTGGTTGCGCAACCCCAGCTAGAGGAAGTAAAGGGAATAAGTCCCAAGATTACAAATACGGCGGAAATAAGTTCCCCGAAACCCGCGGGAATAAGTCCCCGGGAAGACGAAGGAATAAGTCCTTCGAAGCCTGAGGGAATAAGTCCCCAGGAAATGACAGAGACATTGAATGTCATAGTCAATAACGGATCATGTGTAGGCGCTTATACACTTGATCTGATTGCGCCTCCGAAGTTAACTTCGGAGATCACTCAGTTGCCAACGCTCGAACATAAAAGATTCTTGCGTGATCTGCGTAGTGGCAAAGTCAAGCAGATCTGCATACTCGTCGCTGACGACGAGTATGTAACCGACATAAGGTCAGCAACAGTGTTTACTGAGAACGAGAGAGTTCTCAGTAGTTCATCTATGAACGAGAGTGTCCTAGATGAAAAGACACGAATTGAGCGATATGAGTCCCAATCATGGGAATCGCTCAAGGAAAATCCTCTCTATGAAGATTTGGTTGAATTCAAGGATGTATTCCCTGAAACTGTTCCGTGCGAATTACCGAAGGATAAAGGTATTCGACACGAAGTCGAGCTTAAACCAGGCTCGAAGTACTGTGTCATGAAGCAGTGGCCACTGCCTCGTGAACAAGTACTTGCGATCGACAAGTTCTTTGCCGATCGTTTAGCAGCGGGCCATGTGAGGGAATCAACTTCCCCACATAGCTCTCCGACCTTCTGTGTGCGAAAAGCAACAGGAGGGTGGCGGATAGTGCACGCGTTTAACAAATTGAACGCTGCAACGGTACCGGCTCAGACGCCGATACCGAGGAAGGACGTAATCATTGATGGTATGTCAAAGAGTACCATCTTTTCGTCCATGGATTTGATGGATGGCTTCTATCAAATCCTAATGCGGGAACGGGATATACCCTATACCGCAGTTAGCACGCCTAGCGGCATGCTCTGGGAATGGCTAGTAATGCCACAAGGGCTCAGTAATGCCCCTGCCACGTTCAACAGGTGTGTATCACATCTGTTGAGGCCAGTACGAGAATTCGCGCCGAGTTATTTCGATGACGTATTCATCCATAGTCGAGCTATGGATGGAAAGTCGGACGTTGAGGTTCACAAGTACCACGTCCGACAAGTTCTTACAATCATGCGAAAGCATCAATTGTATGCAAACCTCAAGAAGTGTATATTTGCAGCAAGCGAAATACCACTTCTTGGGTGCATCGTTGGTAAGAACGGTGTACGTCCTGATCCCGAAAAGATCAAGGCGATCACCGACTGGCCTGTGCCGGTCGATGTCAAAGGTCTTCGAAAATTCCTTGGGCTAGCGGCGTATTTGCATAAGTATTCACGCAATTACGCCGAGATGACTGTGCACCTCTCTCGTTTGTTGAAAAAGAACGAGAGGTGGTTATGGAACGCTGAATGTCAACGCTCCTTTGAGGGTATCAAGCAGAGCTTGATACAATCCCCAGTCCTAGCAATAGCCGATCAGGACAGGCCATTTCATGTGGTCTGTGATGCCAGCGATTTCGCAATCGGCTGTGCATTAATGCAGTACGACCTTGAAGGCGTTGAACGCGTCGTCTGCTATCAGTCGCGTCAGCTGCAACCAGCTGAGCGGAACTATCCAGTGCATGACAAGGAACTCCTTGCCATGAAGTATGCACTCGCGAAGTTCAGAGTCTATCTATTAGGAGATAGACCCTTCGTTGTTTACACTGACCATGCGTCCTTACGCACGGCAGTGAACAGCCCGCACCTTTCACAACGAATGGCGCGGTGGTTGTCATTCTTTGCAGAATACAACTTTACGGTCGAGTACAAACCAGGACGACTTAATGTCGTCGCTGATGCACTCTCACGTCGTCCCGACTTTGAAACAGTCGCGAAACCCAACAGTGAGACAGTCACTGTTGCGGTTATGACGTCCTCAGTTCCATCTACAACGTTGTATGATGATGTGAGGCGGGCATACGCCCAAGATGGTGAGATAGTGAAGTTGTTGTCACATCTCTCCCAACCATCTCGAGAATCGTTGAAACGATTGTCGTCTGCGTATCGATCTGCATCAGATCGATACACTACTCGTAACGGTTTACTGTACTATACAGCCGTTTCTGGTGACACACCACGTGTTGTCATTCCAGATGATACTGATCTGCGTTTGCGGATCATGTTCGAGTATCACGATGCTCCTATAGGAGGACATCGTGGCCGAGAGAAAACATATCTCACGGTAAGTCGAGACTTTTACTGGCCCCGCCAGTATCAGTTTGTGCGAAAGTATGTTCGCGCATGCGAAGTCTGCCAACGAGTGAAGTCAAGTCCTTCACTGCGTGCACCTTTACAGCCTCTACCGGTTCCGGCTGAGTGCTGGGAATCCATCTCAATGGATTTCGTCTTCGGGTTACCCAAAGACGCACGCGGGAATACGGGTATTCTCGTATTTGTTGACAGATTCAGCAAAATGGTACACCTTGTGGCTGTACCAGAGACAATCACGGCAAGTGGCTGTGCTTGTGTCTTTATTGACACCATCTTCCGACTTCATGGGTTGCCCCGTGAACTCGTATCAGACAGAGATCCACGATTCACTGCTGATTTCTGGCGTTCCGTGTTCAAATCACTCGGAACGCGCTTGAAGATGTCGACATCTGATCATCCAGAGTCAGATGGTCAGACGGAACGTGCCAATCGTGTCCTTGAAGAGATACTTCGAGGATACGTACACTCCTTTAAGAGTTGGAGTGAGTTTTTGCCGATGGTAGAGTTTGCCATCAACAACTCGGTGCATGCGTCCACGACACATACACCGTTTTACGTGAATGGCTTGCGCCATCCGCGTGTACCCACCTTACTAGAGTGTAACTCTGGTTTAAGGGGGGAGGGACTCGCGCGAGCAAAAACCGATTTGGTTCACGCTCATCACGCTCTGACGAAGAAGTCATTGCGTTTGATGCCGATATCGATAACATCGATATCGAAGAAGATGATGCCAGTGAGAGTGCGGAAGCCCTCACTGAAGACAATGATGCCAGTGAGAGTGCGGAAGCCCTCACTGAAGAAAAGGTTGTTGTTGCTGCAGTGCGCTCACAGCACACTGAAGCTAACGAGTCATCAGATGAGTTCATACTGGCTCGTGAAACGGTAGTCCGTTTTGTGCAAGACTCCATCGCCGAAGCGGTGGATAAGCAAAAGCAAAACGCTGACAAGAATGGAAGGGCAAACACTCTTTTATTTAATAAAGGTGACTTAGTCCTACTGTCTACGGTTAATCTACCAAAACATGTAGTGACTAACTTGGGTAGCAGTAAACTACTACCCAAGTACATTGGCCCATTTCGTGTATTGCACCGCCTAGGCAATGCATACACGATCGAGTTACCACGTAAGATGCGAACGCATCCCACGTTTTACGTTGGTCGGCTTAAGCCGTACCATCAGTACGCTGCTTCTTCCGATGAAGAACGCCCTTGCGCTCAAGCATCTCGCAGAGAGCCTTGTGCTCCCGATGGTGGGCATCAACAAGGGTCTGAAGAGCAGTTATCTCAGCCCGAGACCGATCAACAATCCCACGAGCTACCCTTAGCTCGTCACGAAGAGATGTCAGAGATCTCTCGTTCTCAAGCTGAGCAAAGGCAAACTCAGCTCGATGCTTCGAGGCAGTGTCCACCATCTGGAGACGCCTATTCCGCTCATGCTCGAGATCGTCGCGTAACCCTTGCGTTACGCGATCAAAGAAGCTCTCGGGAACACACCGATCCACATGATCGTGTGGAGAGCGTCTTTCCTCCTCCTCCACCTCCATTAGAGGACTCTCGCGGTGGCCAGCGCTATCTAGTAGAGCAGCTGTTGAACCACCGCGACGTGAACGGACGTCGGACGAGTTACCTCGTCCGGTGGCGCGGCTATCCCCCGTCCTGGGATTCTTGGGAGCCCCGCTCCCAATTGATGGTTGACGTACTGGGTCTGGTCGAGCAGTACGACGCGACACATCCTGTGCCGCAGAAGGACCGCCGGAGAAAGTCTTCCCGGCACGGTCGTAAAGGGATTTCAGGTTGTCAATCCCTTCGTACATCTCAGTAGAGACACGTACGCGCCACCACGGGCTGGTAAGGAGGTAAGCCTCCTTAGGTGCTCGTGCAGAGTTGTTCACACAACATGGGCACGAGTCTCCCCAAGAGAGGCAGGGTAATCCTTTCTCCCTTGACAGACGATGCAGCTTGTAGCGTGCACCTGTCGGGGTTCGCTTTTCAAACTTATCACGAGCTTTGATAAGTTTGTCGTTCCAAGCGTCACGACCTACATCCTCGAGATTATGGATGTAGGCGTTCCACGCCTGAAGTAGTGAGGGACCATCACGTTTGTGATTCCCACTGTACCATCGATGTCTGAAGAAAGCATCGATGAAGAACTCATGTTCAGCGCGATAGTCTTTCGCGCTGGGGTCAAGGTGATGAATCCTTGACGAATCGAACAATCGTGTTCGATAACGATCACTCGTCGTCGCCGACAAGTGATCCATGACAGATTTAGGAGGCATCCATGCCTTCTTTTCTGGAGCGAGACGCAACACATTGCGGTCCCGCTCTTCCTGCGACGTGCCGACAGAAGTACTGGCACCTCGCTGTGAAGTGGTGTCCATTGGAGAAACGACACCACTATTAGCGCCCGAGTCTCGCGACCTCGAGCGCCTTCGCTTCGGCGATGGTTCATCTGACTCATCAGATGAACCAAAGATGCTGCGACGCAAAGCATCGTCCATGCCACGCTTGGCAGGCGGCTTGGATTCAATTGCCGTCGATACGGATCCGTCATCCGTATCAGGAGAGTACGAGACACCGAGCTCGTACTCTGTGAAGACACGAGTGTCTTCATGACCAGCGCCTGCATCACCAGGTGATACAGGCTGAGTCGATTCAGCAACCGATGGGATATCAGTTGCTGTAGTTTCTGCTTCGGCGTCCGCACAGAGACGTGCAGACGCGCTCTCGGCGGCCTTGCTCGCGCATCGCATGGGCTTGTTTACCATGCGATGAGATGTTGGAAAGTGGACGCGGACCAACAAGTGCAAACCCCGTCCCAAATGATTTGGGACGAGTATCCATTTAGTCAATCAGTCACTAAAGTGACTGATGGTTAAGGGGGGTGATGTAACGGGGTGAATCGTTACATAACAATTTATAAGAAATTGTTAATAGAATATAACTATAAGAGTTATATTCTCAGAATATTGTCATAAGGACAATATTCTGTAGCACTTCCAAGTAGTTCCTAATTGGTTGATATAGGCCATTATATCAACCAACGAAGACGCGCCACGACAGACGCACGCAATGAGTGGTGAGCAGATAACTGATTTACACATTTGTATTTAGACATAGTTAGATGAAGATAAATAGTGATTTATTGCAGACATTAACTATTATAAATACAGTTCTACTTTTTACTCTAACCGAGTACTCGCTTCTTCTTACCGTCTTCCTCTGCACGTACGAGTGTACGTGAAGTTACGAGGCACCGCCTTATTCTGTTATCAGAATAAGTAGCTTGTACTGTCACCAGTACAAGCTTCAGGGTGCCCCGTTACAGATCTCGTGTCGCACACCACGATCCGCTGGAAGCTCAGCGGGGATATTCTCCGGAAAGATGTCGGCATACTCACGCGCGATATCATAGACAGGGTTGCCCAAAGCAGGAAGGGCTTCCCAAGACTGTGCCACGAAACGTTCTTCGTGCGCTGATTTGGGCTCAGCGCTCTTTGGGCGAGCCTCCAGAACTTCTCCACTAGCTGCTTCGGCGGCTGATATGATGCACACTTGCTCGATGTCGCCGGCCTTGAGGTCGTGAAGAAAATCTTTCCATGGTAGGGTTAATAGAGATGTGATCTCTGCAACAGTGCACGGAGGGCTCGCTACCTCAACGTAGCGGCCACGATGTGAAGACCCTTCCACATATTCAAGTGCACAAACGGATTCCGTCAATACAGTATCATCGTCAACGGCGCTTGAGCGAGAATTTCGTCGTCTTGGTAATCGGTGTGCACCTTTCTTGCGTTTACGCTTTCTCTTGCGTCTTGAGCCACTGCTCGAGGCTGGAACGTCGCTGTCGCTGGAGGATGTAGTACCCCCCGCTAGACGTGGGAGCTCTGTCTCCACCACGTCGTTCACATTTAAGTCCACAGCCCGTTCATTCTCGTCGATAAGAGGCGGGAGCTCGTCGTCGACCGCCTCAGATGTATGTGGGAGCCTCTGCTCGACCACCTCGGTTACAATCGGGAGCCTCTGCTCGGCCGTTGTGTGTGTATGCGGGAGCCCTTGCTCGACCGCCTCGCTAGAACTCGGGAACCCCTGCTCGACCGAATTCCGTGTGTGCGGGAACCCCTGTTCGACCGCCTCGTTGTGAATCGGGAGCCCCTGCTCGACCGACGTCCGTGTGTGCGGGAACCTCTGTTTGAGCGCCTCGTTGTGAATCGGGAGCCCCTGCTCGACCGATGTCCGTGTGTGCGGGAACCCCTGTTCGACCGCCTCGTTGTGAATCGGGAGCCCCTGCTCGACCGATGTCTGTGTGTGCGGGAACCTCTGTTCGACCGTCTCGTTGTGAATCGGGAGACCCTGCTCGACCGGTGTCTGGGTTTGCGGGAACCTCTGTTCGACCGCCTCGTGTTGTGGTTCTATCAGTGTGACTGAACATACCGGACACAGAGGGCCATCGCTCTCTCTGTGCTGACTTCTAGTCGTGGCGAGTTCGTTCACGACCCTGACGTGAGGCCAATCGGATGGCGCTACCAACAGATGAGTGAAAACTTCACTTACGTCGTAACCGCTTCGTCGTTTGACGGACCGAGATAGCCAGTCTATCGACGGCTGATATCGTGACAGCCACGGTATCCCTAAGATGCAATCGAATGCATAATTCATCTCGTACACCAAAAATTCGTCATTACTTTGGAAGCCGTCGAACGTGTACGGCAAAACCACTGTTTTACGCGGGACACGCTGCGGTTGTCCATCAGCAAGTTTGACAACGATGTCACGTGGACCTTCTCGAACCGTAATCTTAGACGGAAGAAGGGACAAACATGATGCTCGAAAGAAGTTGTTGGATGCACCCAAATCCAACAACGCTCGAAGTGGTCGCTTCACTCCAGCAATGATGAGACTGATAATGATCAGTCTCGAATCGTCGCGCATAGTGGTGGCATTGAAGTGGGTATGTATCACTTTAGGGCTAGGAGCCCGAGCTGCCACCTGAGTACTCGGTGCTCCCTTCCTGCCAGTAGGGCGCCCCGAACCTACTGGAACCGTTCGTTTTTCGGCGGGACCACTGACGACACAGTATCTCCACGTGAGACAGCTGTGTTCATGGACACCGGCGCTGATGCTCGGCAGACGGCCGCACGATGGCCAGTCTTGCCGCACCGATAACACTTCATCGTGTTTTGACTTCGAATGTCGCGGCCAAATTGCTTGCCGCGACCACGAGATGCATCGATAACGTCAATTTCCATAGGCTCTGGGCCAGAGGTACGCGGGCGTTGCGACTCTGCCTGCAAATATGACGATGCGACCGTGTAATCTTCAAGAAGCGCGAGGGCAAATGCCTCCTCAAGAGTCTTAGGTTCAGCACGTGTGAGGCAATAGCGGGTCATGCCCTCTTGCATACCAAAGACAAAGACATGAACTTGCGAAGCCATGTCGATCGGCTGCGTGATGATACACGAAGCAAGATGTCGCGTCTTCTTAATGTAATCACGCATCGACAGCTTGCCCTGTCGAAGTGAAAAGAAATCTGCGCGCAAGCGTGACTCAGCTTGAGGGGGCTCGAACGCCAGTCGTAAGTCGCGCTGGATATCGTCCAGCGTGGGGAATGCCAACTCGTTTACAACGAGCTTCCCAAGAGCCCATTCTTTGGCTTTACCAACAAGCCGAGACAGTAGGAAATTAACCTTGGCCGTCGGAGCGTCAATCAACCTTGAAGCTATGGCGATATCAATCTCCCTAAACCAGCGATTAAGGGGGAGACGATCTGGACCATCACCAGAGTATGTCGACGTCTCCATTTTAATTGCATCGTAATGGGAGGGGCGCGAGGGAGTATGTACTCGCCGGTTCGCTTCGGCGAGCTCGCGCGCCATGTAGTCTTGAATGGCGGCACGGTGTTGTTCGGGCGTCGCTGTGCTCAGCAGCGACGTCACGAAGATTTCACCAGACACCGCCTCGAGGCGGTGTAATGCCTGCCATTCTACCGTAGTGAGATGGGGAAAATCTGCATGCTCCAGCGAAACTGCTGGAGCCATCGAAGATTCACTCATGTCCATCTCGAACTTGGTCATGTGAAGGACTACGAAGTGCTACCAGGTGTAACGGGGTGAGAGCCCGTTACCGTCTTACACTAATAATTAAGCTGAGGAAGCGCTGTGATTTATAAGGTAAATTTAACTCTGTTTGTATTTTTGTGTTTTTATAATTCGCAGTAAGTGCGAATATGTTCCCTAGCTCATGGGAACCACTCAAATACAGAACTAATTATTATTGGCTAATTATTGGGTCTGGCACCCCAATAATAAACCAATAATAAATAGACGCGCAGTATCCGCTATCCGGATACTGCCTACACTTAATGTATGTAATTATGTAATAAAACTATGACTACTTAATATAATGGGTTGCCGCATTACAGGAACTAAAAATTGTGAACGTGTAATTCCATCGAATATCTTAATCCTGATATTACCTAATTTATGCACTCGCGTCCTGAATTAAGATAGCTAGGATCTTTCCTATCTTGTTGCTGACACCCGTCAGCCCCTACATATGGATAAGATATTCTGTATCTGTTCCAGTGGGATACCATCCCGTGTGTCTAAGGTACAGGGTACCACGTACCCTACGATGTGTAACCCCTTACACATACTGACAAGCGAAAAATTAAGCCCCAGGTCCTTCACGTTGAGCTTGTCAATGTATATGTTAGATACGCGTAACTTTGGACCCGTCAAGTCTTATGTTGTAATGGTTAGCCTGAGTCAAAGTGCTACTTCTTCTGGGTTTAAATGAAGTGCCATCTAACCCGTAAGTAGCTGTTCGACTAACTCACAAAATCTTCCTAATCTGACTAATACTGTTAGCCTTCGAGAATACAAAGTCCAACTTATCCACACCACCCAAGCCAGCGATCATGGCGGCAAGAAAATTGACATCGGTCGACTTGCGGTATTACAAGCGCCGATAAATCCTCCAACCGCTTCAGTGTGTACTGTAGTCGCTTTTAGAATTCACAGTGACCAGCTCCACTGACTGGAAGACGTAGTCAGTTGTTTTGCCTTTTCTGTAACAGGGCATGCCCTTATTAAATGACTGGTAGCAGTGTTTTGACTGAACACAAGGATGCATGCTACCGACTTCACGTATATATGGCGTGAAATAGAGCAGTGGAGTAAAGAACTAATAGCTCTGTTTAGGGAAAGCAGAATTGTATTTAACATAGTCATGTTTCGATAGAAATCACCTAGGTCTTGATCTAACTATTTTAAATGGCAATCTCCTACGCTGGCTTCTTGCTCTCTACCCAACGCGCTCGTCCAGCAGCGACTGGTGTAAAATTGGTTAATGTTGTATCTACATCAAACAAAGTGGAGTACCCCAATAACTATCCTCGGGATAATATTCTGCCAGCATTACTTTTTCGCAAGTGACGTTGATTCAACATTGTCAAAAAAATACATAGAAATTGATACATCAAATTAATTTTCATGAAATGGGATCACCTCCTGTGTTCACCTTCTCCAATTCATCAATCATTGTAGTGAGAGATTTAATTTATTGGTGACAGAGTGACCCCTGTATTTTCGCCATGGTGAAAGGGAGCACTTGTTGGTCTTTTTATCACATTACAATTTTTTAGCACATGACGAGTTCATCCATGCACTGCGCGCGCAAGGCCGCATCTGAAGCGGCTGAACGGGTGCATGCAGCACGCGAACAAACCACTCATGACTCGGCAGCAGGAATTCGACGCCTGCTGCTTATAAGCAGTCTCAACATACAATGTTGCAGGCGTACTTGGTTCCCCACGTTAAGCTTCTTTTAAAGCGGCTTCGGCTGCTGTTGGCAGTCCCGTGGACGAAATAATTAACCTCTAGAATTTAGGGTCAACTGACCCTGAATTCTAGAGGTTAATTATTCGGGCGAGTCGAACTCCCCGTCCGACTCGAAGTCGACTGAAAAGTCCGGCCGTAAAGCTATAAGTGTGGAAACGGCGACTGCTTGACCTCGTGGCAGTCTTATTATGCACCGTTTGTTTGTCGTTTCATCCTACGAGTCTGAGCACTCGTAGAGGAGATTGAACCGATCACATTTGCATTCATTTGTATGATTCGAGTGCAAAGCTTGTATACTTTTGTCAATATGATGATGCCGATGACTCTTCGCGGAGTCATAGCATGTAACGGGGTTGCACGAAATTAAGGTACTTTGGACCAGAGGTGTTACACACCTGAGGTTACCCCTTTGTGAAGGTGATATAGAATACCTTATTGGTTTGTAGGGCTGACGAGTGTCAGCCATTAGATACGAAATATCTTTGAGTAGGATTAAGATATTCTATAGGCTTTAACAAAATAAAATCAGTTCCCATTTTGATCGGAAGGACACGTGGCTTGCGAGCCGTTTTGATCGTTGATCACTGATCACTAAGAGCTAGCGACACCTCCTTGAGGTAGCTACTCTTGAGCACTGAGTGCTGTTGATTCACTGAATCGTTAGGTCCCCTGGAACAGGGATCTGAAGCTGTAAAGCTTGTTGACTCGTAAAGTCGTTAGTTCTTTGGAACTAAGTTGCTCGTAGAGCTTCAAGTCTTCCTCTGACTTAAGGAGCTGTGTAGCTCCGCTACACTTGGTAGCGCTTGTAGTCAATCTACGCTTGAGTTTTTATGAACGATCCTCTGTGAGAATGGATAACCCCACTCCCCTATCTGAGGCCCAAAAGGTCGCGCTTGATAAGCTGACCGCATCTTTGGGTCCAGAGTACGTGGAGTTCCTTGTTTCACAAGGTCCCGAAGTGCTTAATGCACGTGTTGAAAGCTTCATGCAGTATGAAGCGACGCTTTTAGGGCAGGTCCAAGACCAAAAAAGCGTCGGCTATGCCCACACGCTATGTGTCTGTACCAGACGAAGAGGCTAGGCCTCGTCCACTTAGTGTGAAGGTAAAAACTTCTCCGGTAAGGAGGGTGAGAACCTCATCCTCTGGATCCTTGAGATTGATATGACCATGAGATCAGGTCTAATCACGCTTGACCATCAACAGGTCTCGCTGGCTATCTCGGAGCTCGATGGTAGAGCTAGAGAATGGGCCTTGACGTGTAGCACGTCGGTGGAAATAGCGTTTCCCACATGGGAGTCGCTTAAGTCACAATCGGCACAGGTGTTCTCACCACCTAACCAGGCTTACCGCGTGCGTTCACGCTTTCTTTCTGCCCGCCAGGGTAAGAATGAATTATCGGAATATGTCCAAGAGCTGCGAACGCTCATGGCTACAATGTAGTCTGAACCTCTGTCTGAAGCAGTCCATGTGACTATCTTCATGAAAGGTCTACGTACTGGCATTGCCAGAACCGAGGTTTTTTGGGTTCACCCCTCTACTATTGAAGAGGCTGTGAGAATTGCTCTTAATGCTGAGCATAACTTCAAGTCGGCCAGACTTGGTTGGAACGGGTACAATCCTCGCTCTGTGAGAGCAAACTATTCGGGTACCACTATCTATATTAGGCCGGAGCCGATGGATCTCAGATATGCTGAAGATGAAGGTGAAGCTGAGCTTCAAGCTGCTGAGCAGCAACACGTCGTACGACGATGTTTTACGTGCGGTAAACACTAAACACTTGCGGCCTGGTTGACCTTTGCGTAAGCAACGCCAGGCTACGAGCCAACACTCGACCCCGAGTCAGAAGTCTGGCATGGCACGGGGAAATGCCGACACCCATCAGGCGCGGGGCGCCCTACTGGGGAAGAACTAGGTTCTGTTACACCATTAGAAGTTAGAGGAAGGCAGGGCTTAGCCCCAAAGAGTACCATACCTACGGTTATAGTGCGTGGATAAAATTCTGGCTTGTTGGTCGCCGAGGCGAAAATTAAGGGCTTTGAGAAGCCTTGGTCGATATAGATCGGTTTTGAAGCGTCTTGCAATTATGCTCGACACCGTTCCCTTGAGGGAAGTCAGCGTTATGCTCATGCGCTGTAAGCGCATGAGGGTGATTCTATCACGGTACAATTAGCGACAGGAAGTCGCGTTACTGTGCCTAAATGTCCATTGAACTTAGGTATAAAGTTTTTAGACTTTTACAGTATTAAGCGCTGTCTTGTCCTAGATTTGGACTCGAGATATGATCTCATCCTAGGTATGGATTGGCTTGAACGCCATGAGCCATGGATTGATTGGAGGTCTAAGACCTTAGGCGCTACGCTCAATGTTCCTAGCGAAGCTTTGGAAAGTCATGAACCCACCTTCGCTAGGCAACAGAAGCGCTATTACGCGAGCCTTTGGCAGAGGATGTCAATGTGCTGGATATTGGAATGTCTGAGTTATCTAACTCCAATGTTACAAGCATAAGTTTCGAGCCTAGCTCGTCTGAAATTAGTGAAACGGCACGTACTCTGTTGAGTGTTACTCGTTGTGATAACGAGCCACTGCATGCTGAAAGCATGGTTGGCCTAGAGCCTAGTGATCAAGGATGTGATTCCTTTGATGTGTGTATGGTGGCACGTGAAACTACACCGAGTGCGGTCGGCCGTGAGAGCACCGCACTGAACGTCGGTAATGGCGTTGTTGGCGATTCGCCATACAGTGTGGGCGGCCGTGAGGGCACCACACCTATTGTCAGTAATGATATTGTTGTCGATACTCCGTATAGTGTGGACGGCCGTGAGGGCACCACGCTTAACGCCGGTAATGGCGTTGTTGGCGATACGCCGTATAGTGTGGACGGCCTTGAGGGCCCCACACCTAATGTCGGTAATGACCTTATTGGCGAGACGCCGTTAAATTTGGGGCTAGGCCCGCATAATACACGTGGAGTGGCACGTTTCAATCCACTGAGTGAAGTGTTCGAGTTATGTAACACTTCACCGGATGTCGGTCAGGACAAAAGCATTCGTGTAGAGCGCACTATGGTTAGTAGTAACCATGGGGACAATATTGTCCCGACCCCTAAGGGTTGTAAGGTCTCGAAGAGAAATCGTGACGCCGGGTAGCAACTGTAAATGCCAGGCGTCCTCACAGTCACATAGTTATAATATTAATACACTATGTACACTTGTTAATGGAGTGACTGATCAGGTTGATGGCAGTGTTTGCCTTGAAACCCTTCCATCTGTGGACGCTCTTTGTGAGCTAGACGAAACGTCTGATGGCGAGTTTATCCAGGCCTTTAAGGCAGGAGAGTTATCCGAGTTAGCGGTCATTAGACCTGATACTGAGTTATATTATTCCTCGTTAATGGATGAGTCTGTCCTAGAGGATACAAAGGCGGCACTTAGTGCACGAAGTGGATCTTCGATCATTAAAGATCCTTTGGATCCGTTCTATCCTTTAGTTAAGGAATTTCAAGATGTGGTGTGTCACAACCCACCTTCTGCCTTACCTCCCGATAGAGGTGTACGTCATGAGATTGACTTAGTTCCTGGAACTAAATACTGTGTAACACGGCAGTGGCCTTTGCCTAAAGAATAGTGTGACGTCATTGACGAATTCTTTCGTGCTAAGCACGCGGCTGGAATGGTTCGTGAGAGCAAGTCTCCCCATTCAACACCGACATTTTGTGTCAAAAAGCCAAATGGCTAGTGGCGTATTGTGCATGCTTATAATAAGCTGAATGCAGCCACTATACTGGCGCAGACGCCTATTCCTAGAAAGGATGTGCTTCAAAACAATATGGCAGGATGTACATTGTACAGTGCACTCGACTTAGTCGATGGTTATTACCAACTGCTCATGCGAGCAAGTGATATTCCGCTAACAGCGGTGAGTACTCCGAGCGGTATGCTCTGGTAGTGGCTTGTTATGCCACAAGGGCTATCTAACGCCCCGGCTACGTTTAACCGGCTGGTAACGCAACTATTCAGACCTCATCGAGGCTATGCACAAACGTACTTTGATGACATTTTTGTCCATAGTCGTGCAATGAATGGGCGATCAGATGTTATTTAACCACATCGATCATTTACGAGCTGTGCTCGAGTGTATGCGAACGATTAAGTTGTATGCTAACGCATTGAAGTGCATCTTTGGTGCAGAAGAGATTCCCTTTCTAGGGTGCTTCATTGGGAAGCGAGGCCTTCGAGCGGATCCCGCTAAGGTGAAAGCCATGTTCGACTGGCCGGCTCCCAAGAACCAAAAGGACTTGCGTAAGTGGCTTGGTCTTGCCAATTACTTACATTAGTACAGTGCAAATTACGCAGATATTGCTCGGCCATTGTCCAATTTCCTTAAAAAGAATGTGGATTGGTGTTGGGGTGATACTGAACATGATGCGTTTGAAGCCGTTAAGGAAAGTCTCCTTCATGCGTCAATATTGGCTTTGCCCGATCCTGATCGGCCTTTCAGTGTCGTCTGTGACGCATCTGACTTTGCCATAGGCAGTGCTCTGCTACAAACAGATGTCGACGGACGCGAACGCGTCGTCGCATTCGAGTCTCGGCAGCTGAAAGCTGCTATAAAGAACTACCCTGTTCATGACAAAGAGCTACTTGCTATGAAGTACGCTCTTGTCAAATTCAGAGAATATCTGCTTGGATCCAAGCTGTTGGTGATCTATACAGAGAGAGATTTATGCCGCGCGGTCCTTCAGATCACCCTGGGGTGATTTGCGAGTATTCTGACTCAGTTTGAACTCCTTACAGGACCCGCACCCCTCATTACACTATGGGGCTTTTCGGCTTGTCGGGCCTCCGGACGGCACCGGCCACCCATTGGTGGTTGCTCGTCTACATTATTAGCCTATCTCCGGCGCCCTGTAATCGAACCCCCACCGGGTATCGACCCAGGTATGGTGATCTATACAGATCATGCGTCATTACGCACTGCGACACAGTCACCTCATCTCTCACAGAGAATGGCTCGTTGGCTCTCCTTCTTTGCCAAATATAACTTTGAGGTGAAGTACAAGCCAGGAAAGCAAAACGCTTTGGCTGATGCGCTATCGCGTCAACCTGACTATGAGCTTGCTCATGTTGCGACTCAGTCGTCGTCAGTCCCTGACTTAATCCGTGCGGCGTATGCCAAGGACGATCAGTGTGTAGCTTTGCTACGGGCTCTTGGGAGCGATGAGTGTAAATACTTGGACATAGAATTGTCGGCACGTTTACGTGCAAGGCAACATCGATACTCCATCGATAATGGCCTGTTGTGCTATTGCACGGATATTGAGGACAACCCTCGTATCGTTGTACCTCATGATGAGGAATTAAAGTGTCGAATCCTCTCTGAGGCACATGATACTGCTTTAAGTGGTCATCTCGGTTGTGAAAAGACTTATAGCTCGGTGAGCCAAAGTGATTGGTGGCCCAAACCTTATAAGTGGGTGCGCAACTATGTGCGTACGTGCGAAACGTGTCAACGGGTAAAACCCTTGGCACATGCGGCGGCGCCGCTGGCTAGTTTGCCAGTACCCACTGGTTGTTGGGAGTCCATGAGCATGGATTTTGTGTTTGGCCAACCGAAAGATTCGGAAGGCAACACTGGTATTGTGGTCTTTGTTGACCGATTGAGCAAGATGGCTCACTTAGCGGCTGTGCCCGATAGCATCGATGCTGAAGGTACAGCAAAGCTGTTTATCGACCGTGTGTTTCGCCAACGTGGCTTGCCTGTGTCAATTATCTCTGATAGAGACCCCCGCTTCACTAGGAAATTTGGAAGTCTATCTTTAAGGTGCTTGGCACTTGGTTGGACATGTCCACAGCGGATCATCCGCATACCGACGGTCAAACTGAGCCTTTTAACCGCGTCATCAACGACATTTTGCGCAGTGTTTGCGCTGATACGCCTAGGCGTTGGAGCTCAATGCTCCCTGTTGTTGAGATTGCGTTGAATAACGCTGTGCATGCCTCAACAGGCTTTACTCCGTTCTATAAAAACGGTCTCACTCACCCTCGCGTTCCGTTAACGCTATCACTACGCGAATCAGGGCTTGGTGGGGGAGAGGTTGCCGACCGGCTTGCTGATATCAGCCCTGCTACTGTTCAAAAACAGGTAGGCGAGTTTCACGCAACGCGATTAAATGTCTTAAGACATGTGCGTGACGCAATGGCTGATAGCCAAGATACCCAAAAACAACAAGCTGATGCCAAAGGCAGAAATTGTATTGAACGTTATGAGGTCGGAGACCAAGTACTACTCAATGCTAAAAATCTACCTACAAATGTAGTGTCTGCTGTCTTTAAGACAAAGTTGCGTCCACGCTTTATTGTACCGTTTACGGTCACTGCCAAGAAGGGACTTGCGTATACGCTAAACCTTCCGCGCAAGTTGCGCACACATCCAGTGTTCTACGTAGGCTTACTTTAGTCGTACCGGGACACTTCCCATGTGAACTTGTAGGCGCTTGCGCCGACGACAAGGGCACTGCCCCGGATTGCTGTAGACGATTCAGCAAGTCCGACTGAGCCTCGCTCCGAGTTTAAGCTTGCTCCATCGCCTGAAGGCGGCTTTGCATCGCATCTAGCATGCACTGGCACTTATTCAAGGCCTCTTGAAGACCCTTCACTTCGATAACCAATTTCTCGTGTCCACCGGTACACCGGCCGCCACCGACTTTGCTCGATGAGCAAGGGTGTCGTCAATTTCATGTCGAGAGACTACTGAAACGACGTCGTCGTCAGGGCCAATACCAGTACCTGGTAAAGTGGCGAGGGTACCCTGAGTCTGAAAACTAATGGGAATTTGAGATACCCCTTCGGCAAGACTGCCCTTATGCTTTGGATGCTTTTGAGCATCGTGGCCATGGTCATCTCGAGACCGAGGCCGTTCCCCACCACTAGTGGTGCGGGTTGGCGGGTTGTTGGCCACAGACTGACCAGCACTCGCAGCTACCTTAGTAGCCGAAGCATAGCGCGTGCGCTTGCGCAATTGGCCTCTGGCCTTAAGCTTGGCATAATCATACCGAAGCTTGCGTTCGAGACGCACATCAGCCGCATGGGCACTAGCACTTAGAGCAAAAATGTTGCTGAGGCGACGGACATAGTGCAACCAGTGAACGAAGGCATCATCTTCTTCGCTCACTGTTTCGCCTGCGAGCAAGAGAATGGGTATACCCTTGATCGGTGGAACGGGTGCACCACGTGCTTGCTTGTCAAGGCGTGACTCGTATTGACTTTATGTCGTTAGGTGCGGCTCCAGGTACCTCTCACGAAATGCCTGGCAGCTCACCACCTCCTCAGGAATCTTAGGCCCATGGCCAATGATCCACGTTGCCAAAGCCTGGCCGGCCGCTTGACGTAGACGTTCCTCCACACTGGGTGGAGTGAACACATAGTCACGCTAGCGTTCAAGGGTTGCAGCCATTTGTACATAACGCTGAGCGTTTTCTTCTCTTTGAACAAGCAGTTGTTGTTGCTCATCGAGCGTGTTCGTGATGATAGTCTCATCAGACCCATATGATGCATGCTGCGCTGGTGGCGCGCTCGCATCTCCACGTTCAGCGAACGGATTTGGGCTGTTCGAAGGTTGTGCCACAGGCATCGGTGAGCCGTATATTGTCCCTGTATCACCGCGGACACTGGTATCGCTACCATAGTACACCTCCTCCTCTATTCCGAGGTAGTCACACAGAGCCTATGACTCGTTTGGTGGTGAGGACATCGTGCTAGAGCGTACATTACCGCGAGGTTTACCGCACGCACACTGTTCTCGCTGAGAACACAAGTTCGATTGACGTTTTAGCAAACGTCAGTCTGGTGAGGGTGTAACGGGGTTGCACGAAATTACGGTACTTTGTACCAGAGGTGTTACACACCTGAGGTTACCCCTTTGTGAAGGTGATATAGAATATCTTTATGGTTTGTAGGGGCTGACGAGTGTCAGCCATTAGGTATGAAAGATCTTTGAGTAGGATTAAGATATTCTGTAGGCTTTAACAAAATAAAATCAGTTCCCATTTTGATCGGAAGGACACGTGGCTTGCGATCCGTCTTGATCGTTGATCACTGATCACTAAGAGCTAGCGACACCTCCTTGAGGTAGCTACTCTTGAGCACTG